GGAGACACAGAGGATACAGGGGGATACAGGACGGAGCCGCCCTCCGCCCTGGACCAACGGACGCAGCGCGGGTCCGGGTCCGACCGGAGACACGGAGGATACAGAGGGATACAGGACGGACCCGCCCTCCGCCCCATGGACCAACGGACGCAGCGCGGACCCGGGTCCGCCCGGAGACACAGGATACAGAGGGATACAGGACGGACCCGCCCTCCGCCCTGGACCAACGGACGCAGCGCGGACCCGGGTCCGCCCGGAGACACAGAGGATACAGAAGGATACAGGACGGACCCGCCCTCCGCCCTGGACCAACGGACGCAGCACGGACCCGGGTCCGCACGGAGACACAGAGGATACAGAAGGATACAGGACGGACCCGCCCTCCACCCTGGACCAACGGACGCAGCGCGGGCCCGGGTCCGCCCGGAGACACAGAGGATACAGAGGGATAAGGACGGACCCGCCCTCCGCCCCATGGACCAACGGACGCAGCGCGGACCCAGGTCCGCCCGGAGACACAGAGGATACAGAGGGATACAGGACGGGTCCGCCCTCCGCCCTGGACCAACGGACGCAGCGCGGACCCGGGTCCGCCCGACACGGCGGATACAGAGCGGGTCCTATCCCAGACACAAGTCACCCCCGGCGGCACACTGAGTGGATAGTGATACAAAGGGATACGTCCGAACGGGGGCGCAGTGCGGGACACACGAAACCAGCGGGATCCTCCAGACTGCTGCGCAACGGTCCCGGTCCACCAATTTTGCAACATTGCTCACTACAAAACACCAATCCTGCACCAAGTTACCCTCCGTCGTCCCCGTCGCGCCGCCGTCGGTGGCGTTCCATCCCCGGCATCCCACGCTGGCCGCCTATCTGGGCGGCATCGGGTGGCCGGCCGGCTCACAATTATGTCCGCACCCCGGCGGCAGCCATCCATTTGGGCTGCTGCAGACGGCACCAGCGCGGCCAGCGCGCGATAAAGACGCCCGACACCGGCCGCTTAGTTAATGGCCGGTTAATTAGCCGCTGATAATGGCCAGTAATGGGCGTTTACCGGGTAGCTGGTGGACATCTGGGCGCAGTACCCGCGCCGTGTCAATCGGAGGAGGTTTATCGCGACAGCTGACGAGCGGTATACATATTGAAGACTCGGAGAGGAGAGGAGACGGGTTCTGTCGCCACCTGGAGTGGTTCGAGTGGAATGTCGACGGTGGCTGATATTGCTAACAGCTGTCTGCAGATGTGGACAACGGCGAGCAGCTGCAGACTGCAGGGCGTTGTAACACCTCATTTGGCGGTTTCGGAATGTAAGTATCTGAAATATGCATGTCGGTAAGACATTATCTATAAACTGCTGTTTATAAATCTTGTCTTAAAAAAAGGATAAACCTGTGCACAAAGTCTGTTCCTGTCATCCGCAGCTGTTCGAACACGCCTATTCCCCTCAGAGACCATCAGAGACTATCTTAGACAGTTCGCGTCAGAAAGACTGTCATCGTGCTCATTTATCATGCCTGACATCTGCCCAAAGCCTCGCTGTCACCAGACAGCCAGCTCCTGCGAAAGCAGCAGATATCAGAGATCTCTCACTCGATGGCTGACTGCTCCCATGGCAAGTCTGTTAGGAATACTTAGACGGAACGGGACTTGGCACTGATATCTGGAAGAGCGAGGACGCAGAGTGATTCCCCGATTACTCATTTTTTTTCGGGGACTTCACTGTTTCCCCGAGCAGAACATCCCCTGGTATTTCTGCGGATATCTAATTAAAATCGGGGAATATTTGTTTCTGGTCCCTAAAAAGCTGTTTCTGGCACCTAATTGCTGATCAGCCCCAAAATGCTTATTCGACCCTAATATCTGAATCTGGCACCTAATTGCTTCCACACAGCCTAAAGTTGCCAGATCGTCTAGTTGAACTCCGTATTTGCTGTTTGCTGATTCAGCACCAAAACCAAAACATCTAGCACCTATTTTATTCCACGTTTGCCTACCTAATTCGCGTAATCTTCCTGATTTTATGTATCCTAACAAACATGAACGTTGCATTCGGTGATGTCAAGTGCCATTTTCGCCAGTGGAGATAATGATTAATGCCATTTCTAGCCAAAAGAGAATCACTAGCCAGCTATGGTGCAGCATAGCAAGACGCTCCTATACCAGCCCGCTATGTAGAGACTAGAGATTATTGCACCCTCAGCCATTTTAACGTGAAAAGTTTGGATCCGTCACTTCCAGCCAGGCTCTCAGGTCATAAACTGGAGTAAAGCAAAATGTCAACTCTGAACAGACATGCCACGCAACTGCCACTCTTTTAAATATTATTAGCTTTCTGCAATCATCGTCTGACTCCATCTCGATCAAACGCAGCATCCGGTTTCTACAGGGGCGTTTGACTGACCGGCCACACAATAACCAAAAACAAAATCAAAGCTTCATGCACACATATGACATAAGTTAGAAACGGATGAAAAAGGCACAACCACGGCACAACTCTGCGCGGCAAACAACGGACAATGTCCCACGTAAGATCCCGCGTTTCTTCAGCGGCCTTGAACGGGATGAAAACATTACATTTCTTTTTTGGAGCTATTTGATGACGTCAAAAAAATACAATACCCGTTTTAATGGTCAAAATCGAGACAATTACTCACAAAAATGTTTCCCTTTAAGCATTACAAATAAATGCTTTTAAATATTTAAATGACATTGTTTTTTCAAACAAATCAATATTATTTGCTTACTTAAACGTCATATACAATGCTGAGATCACTACGGGGCTGTCTTAGAGTGTAGCTGCACTGGCAACCTTTAGGCTAGACTCCAGGGGTCATTATACCAGAACAACATGATTCTACCAGCCAGTAGTTCATTTTTCTACTAGATTGGTGCTACGCTCAGCATTTAGGTGCCAGATTCAGAAAAAAGAGTAAGGCGTACCGATGAATAGGTGCCAGAAACAGCTAATTAAGGTCATTTTCCATGATTGGTGCTGGTATCCACCATATAGGTGCTGAGGACCAATTTTGGGGCGAGTCAGCTTTTAGGTGCCAGAAATAGCTTTTCTGGGACGCAATTAAATGGCGTCCATTAAAATCCCCTGCACTGTCTTTCTGCACGCCACGAGCAGCCCTCTCTCCTCCGCGGGACGGCTCTCGTCGCTCGCGTGCCGAGCCGCTCTCTAATCCGCGCGCGTGGGAGACGCGGCAATGAGCCCGTCTCGTGTCGTCACTATAAGCTGCCTCGTTTTAGCAGCTGGGACTCGTCATCCTCAGCCGGCCGCTGCCCTCCCCGTGCGGTGTCACGGCAGCTCTGTGACCTCAGTTCGGGCTGGCTGCAGGGCGGAGCCGTCGCGAGCGGGGGGCGCATATAGGCAGCTTTTCGGCCGCGCGGCTCCGGGTGGGACACAGCTGTGGGGCCCGCTCGCCCACATACGGACGTAATCCTGAGTGATTCCTACCGGGTCCGGACTCTGAGTCATCCTCCGTGCCCGGTTTGGACGCATCTCTCGCGCCCACGGGAGAGCTTTCTACTCATCCCACGGAACACTTTGTGTCCTAACCGTCAGGCAATGTCAACAGCATTCCCATGTCTATCCCTGGACAGAGGGGAAGGTGGGCTGGCACACTGAGCGCTGGCCACCGCTGGTCGCTGGTCAGCAGGCCAGCGGTGCAGCGCTGGGCTCTGGGCGGCGCCCGCCTCTCGCCGGGTGACCCGCCAAAAGCCATTGGAGGCGGACGGCACGCGCCTTTTCTGGCCGGCGACTCTCATTGAAAGGCAGAGCTGCAACGGCCTGTATGGCGCCACAGAGGGTCAGGGAGGGGCCGTCGGCGCCAGCGAGGGGTCAGCGAGGCGCCACCGGGGCCCACAGGGGCCCGCGGAGGGACTCAGGAGGTCAGAGTCTGGGGAAGGGCCCAGGATGTCAGGGGCTGTATGAAGACGGTCAGGCGAGGTGTGAACAGCGCAGCGCAGTGGGAGCTGTAAAACACGCCGCGCGACATCTGTGACGCTCGGCAGGCGATCCACGGGGTGCCGCCGGATTCAAACAAACCCCTGCCACCAGCTCAGAGGGGCTTTGGATCCGAGTGCGGAACTTCCAAACAGTTCCCGCAGAGCAGTGACGTTTCAGTCCACACAGAGAAAGGCTGCACCCGCTCAACAACCTGAGCGCACTGGTTGAGCAAATTTAGAGCCGAATGAGAGTCGAGAACTGTCGCATATAACATGCCGGACTGCCCGCTGCCAGCTCTGGTCTTTTTAAGGGCGTGCCACGAGTCAGGAGCGGCACTGACGCGCCACAGGTCGCGCCCTGTAATGCACCCACTCGCACCATGGGCAATACATCCTAAAAGATGTAAATGCCGTCTGAATTCGGCGCTGACGGCGAGTGCGGCGCCAAATGTGGCCGGCCTGGCGCCAAATTTGGGCCGCCGCTCGCGCCAGCACGGTGCCGGCGACTGTGCAGAGGCTACGGGAAAGGAGAGAGAGAGGAGAGAGGAGAGAGGGGAGAGAGCGGAGGTCGCTCGAAGTGCCCCGCCCCCAGTCCCGGACCAGGAAGACGGCAGTCTGCCACTCTGGGCGACGGTCAACTGGTGCAGCTACCCGTTTCGGGGTGGTCTCATCAGACTCAGGCCACTCAGCGGGCTCATCAGGGGCCACCCAGTAGGCTCAGGCGATACAGCCAGGTGGTCTTAGAAGTGGCCACCGGGATGATCAGGAGGGACAATCTAGCCTGGGACAAGCAGGGCCTGAGCCCAATGCCTTCAGAAGGGTCCGCGCGGTTGTAGTCTTGCGGCAAGGTTTTAGGTCATCAAAGTCTGGTGATCGGTAATGGCACTTCTACACGCAGAGGCACTACTTGACCGCCAGTTAGGAGGGAGTCGCTCGCCGTGTTTTGTTGGCTGATTTCGGCGCTTACTCGACACTGGTACTGTGTACTGTCTCTCAGTTCTCGGTACTCGGTACTCGGTATTCGGTACTCGGTACCCGGTACTCACCTCCAGCAGGGTGACCGATATGATGAACAGCGGCGGCGGGCAGCAGCGGTAGTGGTCGGCGTAGTACTTGCGGTCCCGCTCGTCCGTCAAATACTCGTCCGCCACCATTTTCACCATCCTGCAACACCAACACAACAAATGAAACAAAGATGCACCTTTAATGACCGCCCGCCATGCAAATGACGTGATTTATTAGCAGCTAAGAATCACTGACCGCTCATTTCGCTGCACCTGGGGCCATCCGCTGGCTATAAAATAACATAGCAACCGATATGGCGAGTGGCTCGTACTCATCATTTCAAGACAGCCGAGACGAAAGTGAAAACACGGCACGTGACTGGAATCGAGCCCGCCATCTCACGACGGGCGATCCGGGCATTCCGCCGGTTTGTGGCAGCGGGGTGACGGGGGGGGGGGGGTTGTAGCTTTGGGTGACGGACGGAGGGGGGGGGGGACTGATGACAGCGGGGGCGGAGACCGATCGCGTCTGTGCGTGGGTTCGGACCGCCAGCCAACCCGCCGAGCAGAGGTCACGCGGCGTCGCCTGCTATTTATATTGACACCTGACCCGGGGCCAGTCGGACGACCTACAGGGACGCCCGACAGAAGAGTGCCCGCCGCCGGCGTGCCGTCAATTTCGCGCCGCGCCGCCGCCACTCTGACGAGCTGGCAACCGATACATCGAGCGGGGTCGCGCCACCACCCCGAGACCAAAAGAGGCGAACGGCCATCGGTCGCATCGATATGCAGACATGAGCAGGGGCGGCCGCGAGGCTGTCTCCGGGCTGAGGAAGGGGCTGCAGTGGACAGGGGTCTAAACTGGCTGTGGAAGAGGTGTGGAAGGGGGCTGTGGATGGGACTGTGGAGAGGGACTGTGGAAACAGGGCAGGGTGTGGAACAGGGCAGGGTGGGGCTGTAGCAGTGGCTGTGAGCGCGGGGATGTGGGCTGTCTCCGGAGCTGTCTGCGGGCTGGTGCCGCGCTCCGACTCACCTCTGGAACGGTGAGATGGGCTTGGTGATCAGATGGAAGTCGTTCTCGCTGCGCACCTCGCGGTCGCGGTGGTGGACGGCACACTTGAAACTCCGCGTCCGTTTCCCGGTCATCTGCAGAGGAGAGGTCACAGTTCAGACCAGAGCCAAACACTCGCCCCAAACACGGCGCACTCACACCAGGGGGCGGCAGCTCGAAAGCAGAGCACCAGGTTCGGCTATCACTAACCCGTTTGAATGTATAATGCGCGAACAAAATGCATTATTTATCTCGCTATTAGAGCAGGCGGGCCGCCCGTAGTCGACTCTGCATCTCAAGCAAGGCCGCGTGAGGTGTCGTGCTTGTCAATAATCTGAACGCGGCACCTCAGTCAATGTCCACGAGAGAGTGGTATGTCACACGCGACCGGGGTCCGCCCTTTCGGAGAAAATATATCACAGTACCAACAGGGGCGCACGGCCCGCCGGCCAGCCAGGAGGCGTGCTTGGTAAACTGGAAAGAAACCAAGGAAAAGACGATGCACCTGCATGCGATGCCTCTGCAAATCCGCCAGTTTAGTCCGCACGGCCCTGTGTGAAATAGGATTATAGACGAATCCCCTTACAATCTGCACGCTAGGCATGATACTTCCGCCGGCGGTGGCGCTCCGCCCTGGTCTGCCAGCGGAGCGTCCGGCGCTGTCTGGACCGGGGGTCTGTGCACCCGCTGCTCACCCAGCCCAGAGCACCCCGCTGAAAGGTAACGCGTGGCGCGCGGGGCAGCGGGCCGCACCGGGCGTAAAAACTGCCCCTCGCGCCGCCCCGTCCGACTTTTCATTATTCACATTCTGTTCCCCGACTCACCACGGCAAGCCAGGTAAATGAGCCCGGCAAAGGCAGCCAGGCCAGACCAAACTCAGACGGTAGACCAACTCAATTAAACCAAATCCAATCCTGCACTAAGGCCAAGGGACCAAAGTCAACGCCTTTCGAGCTAACAAAATCCAGCCCAAAGAAGCTTAGGCTATCATAGCTAAGTCCTGATGAGCCGGATTGGACTATTAGTAAAGTAATCTTGTGATTAGACCACGGGGTGTGACATGGCCCGATCCGAGTTGGTACAGAAGGTGGCATTGTTCGGGGTCGTCGGTCCGACCTTCTGCGTGCATGTGCCGAGTAATTCAGCCGGGAGACTGGGTCCAGTATCGATCGCCGGCCCGAACAGGGCAGGGAGGGGACTTATGACCTGGGGAAGGCAGTCGTACAACGGCACGGCATGTTAACGACTGAGAGTCGCGTGGTACGACGCTGTGAGGGCTGCGTGATTACCAGAGACAGGAGCCGACAGCCGGAGCATATCACTGTGTCATTAATGATGTGTTAATCAGGCCTTGACGCTTACAGGCCGTTTCAATGATATGCAATTGAATGTTTCACAAGGTGTTCAACAAGACAGACATTAATCAGACAAGTAGTTACCAAACAATGCAGCTCCGAATGCAAATACCATGTAATACACAGTGGCGAGGGAACAAACGGTTACCACGAAATTAATCACGAATGGGTGCTTCTTACCCAAAGCGACGGCCACAATCGAGCGCACACTGCTGCAGTTTTCTTCCTGTGTCCTTTTTCATAAAGCCTGGAATTGTAGAATTGTAGTTGTAGTTTGTAGGTTTGTACTTTCGATTGTACAAATCTGTTTCATAAAGGAAAAAGTACAATCCGAAAGTACAAACTACAATTCCACAAACCTACAACTCACATTCGGCAATTATCAGCCAAAAAACTAGCAATCTGTTTCATAAAAAGAACGGTTCCTCTGATTTTGGGATTTCCTTGACGGAAAATACAATCGAAATCTACAACGCCCTAACCGTGTGTAGAATTTCGGAGATGAAGCATAGGAATCAGCTTAACGTTGCTAATAATTCAATTCAATAATAACCGATGCTCAGATACACGATATGTATTATTACTGAGCGAGAGAGCGCAGCGAGCGAAGCGAGGTCTTTTCAATATAACGAAAAAATCTCAGTATTGAGCCGCCCGGTCCGGCCCGGCCAGTAACACTTTTGACGGGCTAATATCTCAGCAACCGCTGGACCGACTTCGGTCTTTTTTGTTGGGTAGTCCTATTCCTTCTACTCCGTAATTGACTACTCCTGATGCATTTCAGAAACCCATTTCAGAAACTGATGCATTGGACGTTTCATGGAAAGAATGGGACCAAAAGTCGGCAGTGCCCCCCCCCCCCCCCCCTTAATTGAAGGTGTTCCGCCGCTACTGCGTGCCACGTGAAAAGTCAAGGGTGTTCATTTTCAAGCTGTTTTGCAAAAGTAGTGACTTTGAGAGGCTCATATCTCAGCAGCCGCTAGTGCGATTGTCTTGCGGTAATTGTTGTAGGGTAGCTGCATCCCTTCTTCCAAAGGTCGGATACTCTTGACCTATGTGAGTGGCCCCCGCCGCATGTGCAAAAAGCAAAGAGAAGAGGTGTTAACTTTGCTCCCATTTCAATAACTAGGTAATTACTGGGGCGATTTCGCTGAAACTTGGCATACACGTGGGCGCCCACCTAGCAATGCATTCTAATGTGTTGCGGTTAGGGTGCTAATGCACGTGTGCACGAGCAGGGGGTGCCTCTAGATCTAGAGAACCGCTGGGCCGATTGCGCTCAAATCTGGTACACGGTTGGGGACCGGTTAGATAGAGTACCGTGCAAAGTCAGTTTGGGCCCTATATATGGCCTTGGTGTGGGCCCCATTTGCACGTGCGCACGTGCAGGGCGTCACATCCAGATCTTGGGAATGGCTGGGCCGCTTGCATCCGACTTTGGTGCACAGCTAATAAACGGTTGGTAGGGCGCCGTGCACATTGCACGAGCCAGTTGGAGGTACCCTGGCGCCCTGCGCAGTGCACAGTGCACATGCAGGGCTCACTCGCTCGCTCGCTCGTTCTTCGCCCAAAAGGCACTTACCTGGTTATTTTCATCATTTTCCTGCTTATATATAACTTCATGTATGCCGCATTTCCGAAAAAATGCCGGCATTGAACGGCTCGACCCGACCCCCTCCCCTCCCCTCTCGATCCGGCTGACCCACGCCAATGGCGTTTTTGAACGGAAGGAACTAAAGCGCTGAAATTCGTAGCAGCGTTCGGGCCTATTGTTTATAATTCGACAAAAAGACGGCATTTTATCAACAATTTATTTTCCTTATTCATACGAACCTTTTATCAATAGGTAGTCATAATAAGTTCACGAATAATATCTAAAAGTGAAGGATAAATATATACCTAGCTATTATTGATATCAATATCTGAATACATTATGCCTAGGTAGGTACTATACCTACCATCGATCGACTCATGTGACATTTTTTTAAACATAGCTCATAATCTTACATTAACATAGCAGTTTTTTTGCGGATAAAGTTCTTTGGGAAAAAAGAGCAGCCTACGCTCATGTCCTATTCGTTTCCGGCTCAGTTTCTTCAACCAACACTAATGGAATGACCATGCACCTTCTCTTCAAGATGTAGCCCATTTCCTTTCACGCAGTATAGGAAAGCTTGAATTTTTATCAGTTTTCATCCCGTCTCCTGGGTGGCTCCAGCCTCCATCTATTTGCTTCTCGCTTCGTCACAATGCTCTTGCATTTTGATTTTGGCATTTGATTCGCTGGCTTTCTTGTTGCTTCATGTTTCACAGCACTAGGCTGCATTACTTATCAAAACGGGTAATTCAAGGCTCAAAGCAATTTGAGGTCACATAGCTCGTCGCTAGGTAATATGACTGTCAACAATATCCATAATAACCACTCTATAATTCGGATAGGATTAACCTAAACTTTTTCAGCCATTTTTGCATTATTGTCTGAACAAATCATGAAGCAGTCTTTCAAGAAACTAATGACTTGTTGGACTTACCCAGATACCAAATCTCGAAACAAGCACATCTTGAAATGATTGCAGTTGCACTGTTGAAAATGTTAATACTTTCAGCATAAAAGTTCTAGCTATGCATGTGCAAAGCGATGGCCGATCCCTAAAAGCAATTCAAGTTATTTATCAATAATTATTTCTTTTAAAAATTGCAAAAACGGTCAGCACACCATACGCAATTTACAACACAACATCGAAAACTGTTGCAGAAGTTTTTGTTTACTCCGTTGCCATGGAGACGAAGCCCCGCAAAACTACGCTCCCGGATCGAAAGTACAATTCTATTGACGCCGCATGTCCAGGCTTTATGAAAAGTAGTAGTTTGTAAAATTGTACTTTGAAAACTACAAATGTACAAACTACAATCGGATTGTAGAATCTTTATGAAAAAGGACACTGAAGTCTAATTCTCGACTTTGTTAGGATATTTTTACGAAATAAATCCTTCGCTTCCACTTTCACTAACCAGCACACTTGCACTACCCACCCACCGCCGCCGTCGTCGTCTCCGACACACCGCCGCCGGCGACAGTGACGGTCACGGGGTCGGCGCGCCGGCGGCCGTCGGGCCAGACGGCTGCCCACGTGGCGCCGGCCCGCCTGCCAAGTCGTCGGCGCCGACAGGGAAGGGGAGGGGGCGGGGTCCACCTGGGGAGTGGGTGGTGCTGGCCAGCGGCGCCGAACATGGTGACGCAATGGGGCGGAAGGACGAAACATGACGAGGCGTGGGGTCACGACGGGACATGATTCGACATGACGTGACAGGATATTATCACGTTTATAACGCGTTTTATCAACTTTGCTTTACATTCTTTCCTATAAACTTTGTGTGTAAAATAAATGTTTTGCGCCACAATTTGACCGCCAAATGCTTACCGGACGGTCCCGATTAATAATAACGCACTTTCATTTACGAGCTCCCAATAATGCCCAAAGCACACCTGCCGTTTGCATTCCTTTCCGACAAACACCACCGATAGCGGCGCTCTGACGTTATTTTTCACCGGACAGCCTCGCCGGATCACGACGGGGGGCATCAGTCCGCCGTGGATCCGCTGTCCACCGTCCGCTCTCCCCGACAATGAGGGGCGCGGTGCGGCGGTTCCGGCCCCCTTCCGGCGGAAGTGGCGCGGTGTCGGACAAATACGGCGCGGCGGCGGCGGCGGCGCCGTAATGCGCCATGTTTGCCCGGGC